ACAATTTTCATTTAAATCTTTTATTCAATTTAATTTTCACTTGTAATTTTTTGAAAGATTTGTAATTAAAATATGACAATAAATTTGTTCTTTCTTGTAACTGCTGGAAGCAGCCAACGTATTGTGCTAACATTTTCATTTGTTAAAAAAGTACCACTGTTATGTACTTAGTGCATAAAGTATTACATCCGTTTTGGGATCTGTCTTTGTTTACGAATGGACTTTTGCTTTACTGACAGGTTTGTAAAATTTAGCGAAACTTATTTTACTTTCTTGTTTTTATACTTTTTGAAAAATAAATAAGAAGTTGAACTAATGATATTTACACCTGCTGTTTTAACCAATATTTATATGGCATTTCTATTGGACATTGTGAATTTGGGGCCATAAAAAAATTGTAAAAGATGAATATGAAATGACTCATAGCTAAGAAACGTCTGTAACTTATTCGTCAAAAATTGTCGCTGACCTGGCGATACTGGCAGTATAGTACGAGATCCCACTGCAAGATCACTACGTCCATAACGTAGTTAAGCAAACTAAAATGCCAGTCAAAAAGAGGTCGCAAATAGTTTTAATTTAATATAATATAAAGACGGAGCTAGATTTTTGTTTCAATACAGAGCGGCGGCAACCGCTTATACGTCTTTCGACCTCTTTAGATCTCGTCAGAGCGATATAGCTACCTCTCTGGATCGAAACAAAATCTATTCCCGTCTTAAACAATAGTTATAAAATAACTATATACGGACGTAACTACGTTATCTAATAACAAAAAGAGAAATCAAACGATTTCTACCTGGCGAAATCGAATTTAAATTTTGGCTATTTCTTCTTCTTCATGTACCATGTCCTTTCAGAACGTTGGCTACCATCATACCTATCTTAATTTTATTCACTGCCACCCTAAATAGCAAGCTTGTATCAACACCATACCAATCTCGCAAGTTCTTCAACCATGAGGTTTTTCTTCGTCCCTGACTGCGTTTCATCATCACGTAGCGGTACAACCCTGGGTGGGTCTTGGCTGACTGTACAACTTTTTTCCAATTTCGGTCCTCGGTCTTCCATCAACCTAAGGTCAAATGGAATGTTCATTTTCCGGAGATCTGCTTTACAATTTAATTGCTGTCCAAGGTAAACGATTTTATCAACTTGCTCAAGTTTGGTGTTATTATATAGTCGATTTTATATGTTGTTTACTTATTATGAGTATTTTAGTTTTCCGTAAGTTAAGATCCAGACCTGCCTCCCTACAACTCTCAACGACATTATCAAGTAGTGTTTGCAGATCTTCTTGACTAGAAGCTAGGAGTACTGTATCGTCCGTATATCGCAAATTATTGATGACTTCGCCGTTTACAAGTTCACATTGGTCCCTTCACTTTACTAAAATTGGTGTTTTAGCTGATAGGTCTGGGTTTGCTTGCCGCAATTTATTATTTGGTAACAGTTGTCATCATCGCAACTTATTTATATATTATTTATATAATAAATAAAAAATTAAAATAAAAAAAACGGGGAATGCATAACATTAAACTCAGCAGTCGCAAATCCAATGAAGAAATAAGAAGAGAATCAAGTAACATTTATAATACAAAAGATTGCCATGTTTAAATAGAACTGTGCAGGACACATAGAAATAATGAAAGACAACCTTTGTATGAAGCGAATTGTTAAATGGCGACCAAAAACAAATAAGAGAAGAAGAGCCAGACCTCAAACCAGATGGACAGATGACATCAAGCAAATGGCTGGTCATGATTGAATGCCAAAAATAACCAAACAGAAGTAACAGAATAACACAAATGAATGGACACAACTAAAAAAATATATACATGGAAAGTACCTGGAGATAATCAAAATAACTTAATACAAAACAAGATTGGTTATACATTAATTTACAAGTGTTATAGAAAAAGCATTGGCGTTTAATCGTTTGATCTCGCTAAAATCTAAACTAAATTAAAGAAAATAAAACAAAGAGAAGACAAAACTTAACCTAAAGAAGACTAAATATCCAGAAGTAAGAGCAGAGATAAAAAAAATACTCAATCTTGCTCTTAAAGAAAAATCATTAAAATATTTACGAAATTAGAAGTGACAAATAAAAGTACTGGCACACTTTTTAAACAGCAGTTACAACCATAAAACCAGAAAAACTACAAGCCAATATACAAGCCTACTGATTTACATACGAAGATCTTACAAACATACGACCTTCTTATTATTGCATATAGATAAAGATAAAGGAATTTATAAATATGAAGCAAAAATTTACTACAATCACTCAAGTAGATTACAACAACTAGTCAAGTAGCGTCTAGTCAAAAAATGTAGAAAACATGAAAAAGAAATGGATTCAAGATCTCTTTATTGGCGAAAAAAAAGGAACACAAAAAAATACAGTGAAAGAAATATTACTTAATATATTAACATCAGAAGTTAAAAAGCAATCAATACGGTAAAGCCAAGAAATATCTAAGGTCAAGAACATAACGTAAAGAAAAACCTAAACGACAATCAATTTGGATTTTGTAGGTATATGGCGTGGTAAAAGGGGGGCATTTTTTGTTACCACTATAAAATGCCGAAATCAGAGAAAATACGTGTTTCTCCGTTCTATCGACTACAAAAAAGCATTTGATCAAGTAAAACATACAGAACTTATAGAAACTCTAACACAGCATGGTATAAATCATAACACTGCCCTTAGTAAAAACTCGATCAAAATAGACAAACATTTGACAACAGAAATAAGTTTGTCAAGTTTGTGTACTTATTTCACTATTATTCCATATATATATTCCAAAAAGGATCTTTTAAATAGCTCTTAAACAAAAATCAACGGATAATACGTAAACAACTTAAAATACACAGACAGGATCGTCATTATTACGAAGCTCAGGGCTTGCAATGACTTCTGAATGCCATAACCAGGAAAGTATATACTTAAAGGCTGAAAATAAACGCAAATAAAACAAAAATAATGGTTTTCACACATACAGCCAATGCAGACATTACTATTTGTAACTATAACAAACAAATAGAACCCGTACTAAGAGTCCAGTATCCTGGTTGCTGGATAACAGTAGATACATAATACGAGCTCTTTCAGATTTCAGCATACAAGAGCTTTTCAAAGAATAAAGAAATTCCTAATAAACTTTATCTTATCTATTTATTCTATATTTTTGTGTAAAGTGAAAACATGGACTCATCTAATTACAAGTATAAGGCGGATGAAAGCGTTTTAAATGTGGGTCTGTTAAAGAATCTCTTGGACAGTGTACGTGACCAACAATAGGATGCTGAGAAGGCATCCTATTGTTGATGAGATGAGGAAAAGTGGAAGAAGGGATGGGATGGGGAATGAGGGAAAAGTAATAAACATTGTAAAAAATAGAAAAACGAGTTATCTGTGACATATTTACAAAGGAGAAAAATACAACTTCCCATAATTCAGAATGGAAGAGAAAGTGGAAGAAAAAGGAGGTTCAGGAAGAAGAAAATGCTCGTGGTTGAAGAATGTAAGAGATCGAAGACATAGACACCCATTCAATAGAACAGCGTAGCGTAGGGAGCAATTTGCAGTAATTATTGCCAGCCTTTAGTAATGAAAAATGTGTTAAAGCAGAATGAAGAAGGCATCTACGTAATTTACCATCCTATATTGTAAATAAGTTAATGAGTTAAGTTTTGTAGTTTAGACAAGTAGAAATGTCAATTTTGATGGAAATAAAATAACAATAAGTCACAGTCATTATTTTATTACCAGAAAGTTTTTTCTAGTTAGACGATCTAATATTATTAACAATTTTAACAAAATGTACCTTAAGAAGAAGAATCGAGTGAACAGTCTTTTAATAAAGTCGTCCATGGAATGCACCTTTAAAATATGGGCAATAAAACTTTAAAGTCATCTTATTTAAAATGTATAATATATGGCTGAATAACTGAATAAGACAGATCAAATTTAATTATAAGAAGATAGTTTTGAGATTAGTTACCAAGTAACAAAATCAAATAATTTGTTTAATTCGTATTTTGACAACGATTTCCGAAAGTAGAAATCAAAACAAACGTATTTTAAAGTAAATAATATTAAAGTACCATATAAAAAATAGCTTCAGTATACTTAATATTTCTATACATTTATATTTACATACCTTTATATTTGGAAAACAGTGAAACGATAGATAAAAAGAATCGAAAAATATGATTAACAAATTATTAGTTTACTATATTCAGAGATATTTGATTATTTTGTTTTATTAGTGTAAGTAGTATCAAAAATATTAAAATCTTTTTTAAACTTTCGACATACATTTGTGATTTATATAAATAACCCTTTATTGTATTTTCTATCCACCATTAGTTTACTTTCAATCCGAGTTTAAATCTCTACAAATCTGTACTAGTTCATTCAGCAGTAAACAAAGTCAAAGATGGATCAACGAGACCCTCATTAAGAGCTTGAACGTCATCCTTTCCGATCCAAATTGACATGTTGAAACGAAATTACCACATATTTTCTTAGCAAAATTAACCAATCGAACTTTAGTTTCTAAATTTGCCGAATGTGCGCCGCTGAGGCGCCACATGCGCAGAATTATATCGAAAGGACCTTTCTGTCAGTCGGATTTTAGGAACTCGAAACGGTATACCCTTTTGTCGTGACCTCAGAACAATTCGAAAATTCGCGTATGTGATTCTTAGTGAAAATTGTGAATATATTGTTATTAAGAACATAAAGTGTGAATAGACGATAAAAAATGTGTGTGAATATGTTCATACCGGTTTAAAATGTTTATATTTACTTATTTTACTGGGTAAAACTATAAAAAAATTGTAAAAGCGGTTATTTCCTCACATAGTAGTGATTTAAATAATTAATATGATCATAGTTATGTAAGGTGACAATAATGCGTAATACCATTAGGCAATTTCTGTTTTTTTCTTTTTTATTTTTGCTATTTACCTATCCATCTAAAAGTGATATGATCCTAGATTCTAAACCTCAATTAACTTCGCGAACAGTCAGAACTAAATACGGTGACGTGAGTGGTGTAATATTTTCTTTGGATTCTAAATACCTTGAACCTGTTGAGGTGTTCCGCGGGATTCCGTACGCAAGCCCTCCGTTGGGTAGTTTGAGGTTTATGCCACCGGTGACAGGTGCATTGTGGCAAGGTGTAAAGCTTGCGGATAGATTTAGTCCGGTATGCCCACAGAGATTGCCAGATATTTCAAACGAGACGGCTGCTTTAAGGAGGATGCCTAAGGGTCGATTGGAATACTTGAAAAGGCTGTTACCCTATTTAAAGGAGCAAAGCGAGGACTGCCTCTACTTGAATATATACGCTCCAGCTCAAGGTAGGATTGATATTTTAGAATTAATCAAGAAATATGAATAAACTAATACATAAATAAATTATATATATATATATATATATATATATATATATATATATATATATATATATACAGTCTCGTCAGCTATAACTATTTCTAGAAAGGGTTAAACCTTTTTTCATCTTTTGGCTTTTCCAAAACATTGGTTAATCATTTTGCAACTGCTGTTTAACACCGAAGGTACATATTTTTTCTCTTGTTCTTTTTCATTCTATGGATTTTAGTTTTAACGATTTGTTTTGTATCTCCCGCTATATTTAGAAAATGTCGAATTAAGCCGTGTTTCTTAGGTTCTGACATCTCCTACTTTGGTGCTACTTATGATGGTTTCACCGAATATTTCCATATATCTTTGCATTTACTCGAAATACTCGTTGTCTATTTTTAATAATTTTATTAATTATAATAATTAAGTTATAATAATTTGTGACTAATCGTTAGGAAATATAAATTACGGTTTATGTTTAAATTTAGAACCATAACTTACGGATATAGTAATAGTGCATTCTTTTTATTAGTAACAATTTCCTAAATAAAAATCCATGTAATAAAATATAAAACAAATGTCTTTGTTATTTTAACCAAGCTGAGAACCCAACAAGTCAAAAACGCACACAAAAAGTTTGAAACTGGTTTTAGTTAAATACATATTTACACCAAGATAGTCCAGCGGCTCGATCGATTGATTTTAATCCTGTTTAGTGCACAGAAATTAGATACGAGTAGATTTTGATGATTTTTAGTTGAACCGATAAACTTAAAGTAAAACTTTTTTTCTATAAATAATTACGCCAGATTTTTTTAGTAGTTAAGAATAGTAACTGCTATACAATATATTACAATAATTTATTTAAGATAATGATTTTATGTTTAAGTATATATATAATTTTTGTTTTCAATACATCAGTATTAGGAGGATAAGTCATTAATTCCATATACAGTGACTCACAGATTAAATAATGCTGTAGCTACTTAATAAAGTTAGCTTGTATCAGTGGTTCCATATTTATCAGAAAAAATTACCAATTGAAATTAAAATACTACAAGTCTTTTAAACTCTAAGCATTGAAAAATGAGTGCTAATATTTTCTAGGTCGTTTTTTATTATCAATATAGCCTGCAGTCATCTATAGGCATTGATTCGACTAACTTTCTAGTGTACTCTTGAGAAATTGTGTCCCAAGTTTCAGTAATTTTTACTTTCAATTCATTTTTATTTCATATTGAGGCAATATTTACTATATTTTTTAATGTTAATAACAAACTTTCAATAACATTCAAATTTGGTGACTGGGCTGGTGTTTTATTGACATTTCGGCAATTATAGCGCAACAAAATACGAACCCATGTTTTGGATCGTTGTCCTTATAGAACCGGTAATTGTTATTAATATCTGTTCTTAAGCACTTGCAGCAAGATGCTACCTTAGTATATTTAAGTACACGTGTTGGTTCATCTTCTTCTTAGAGTGCCGTCTCCCTACGGAGGTTGGCAATCATAATGGCTATTTTTATTTTAGAACTTGCTGCTCTAAACAAATCAATCGATCTGCATTGATACCAATCACGTAGATTCTTTAACCATGAGTTCTGCCTTCGGCCAACAGATCTTTTTCCTTGAATCTTTCACTGTATTATCAGTCTCAAAATTTCATATTTTGGTCCCCTCATCACGTGGCCTAGGTATTCCAGTTTTCTGGTTTGTATAGTGGTGATTAGTTCTGTTTCTTTACCAACCCTCTCCAGTACTTCTTTATTTGTAATTCTATCAGTCCATGATATTTTCAATAATCTGCGGTATAACCAGAGTTCGAAGGCCTCGATTCTTTTTAAATTACATTTTTTTAATGTCCAAGTCTCAGCTCCATATAATAATATTGAAAATATATAACAGCGAATGGTACGTAGTCTGATCTCCAAATTTAGATTTTTGCACGTTAGGAGTGGCTTCATTCGTATAAATGCTGATCTGGCAATCTCTAGTCGTCTGTTTATTTCTACAGTATGATCATTGGTTTCATTGATCAAAGTTCCCAAATACTGATATTTTTCTACTTGTTCTATCACGTTACCATTTATTGACAATAGGTAATAGTAATAGTAATTCCCATCTCAGCACTATTTATACTCAAGCTTTCGATAAGTTGTTGTAGATCCTCTATACTCGTTGCTATGATCACAGTGTCGTCTGCATATCTTAAATTATTAATTAATTTTCTGTTAACGGTGACTCCCGCTTCGATATTATTGAGCGTGTTTTGGAAGATTTCTTCAGAATATAAGTTAAACAAAAGTGGTCATAACACACATCCCTGTCTAACTCCTCTACAGATCCTCATTTCTTCTGAGTGTTGCCCATCAATTTGAACTATGGCACTTTGGTTCCAATATAATGTTTGCACTATATTTATGATTTTCATATTCCCTTCAATCAAATGCATCTTAACTACCCATGCAGACAACATACACTCGCACATCATCACTTCACCTCCACCGAGCTTTACCGTAGCTTTCATATTTTTTAATTTTAGTTCTTCATTCAGCTTTATCCACACCGATATTTTCCATCGGACTCAAACAAGTTTATTTTGGATTCATCAGTAAATATTACTGAATTCCAAAATTTCAAATCTTTGTTAACATGCTCCCTAGCGAACACCGATGTAATACGCATATTTCTTTGGTTAATGAAAGGTTTATTTCTAGCAGTTCAACCATGAAGGTTATTCTTTCATAATATCCATCTAATTGTTTCGGGATTCATTGTTTTATAAACTCTTTTCACCTTATCTCGCAATGTTGGTGCACTTTTTGTAGGATTATTTGCTATTTCTCTGACAATCCATCTTTCCTTACGTTTGCTAAAAATCTTACTTGGAGCTAACCTTGATTTATTTTCAACTCTATTTTCACTTTGGTAACGTTCAATAATGTGCTGAACTGTTGATGAACATTTTTATTTACCATTTTGGATATGTCTTTTTGGATATATACATTACTATGGAGAGTAATAATTAAATTTCTTTCACTAATCGTAGTTCGGCGACCCATTCTTAAAAAAATTTGTTATTTGCCGATTACGTACTCTAGAATTGTCAAATTACACATAAAAATTCCTGCAATATGAATTTAATGCAACGCCAACTTCGCAAATTTCAAATTGATCAGTTGTGTATTATCTCTTATCTGCATCATTTTAGCTATGACATCAAAATCATACATAAAATAATTAAATATTTATTGCTGTTAAAGCATCCTAGATTTGAAACTTACTTCTATCAAGTAGTAATATTACCTACTTTTATCAAAAATGGTCAAAACGCTATTTAAATTGGGGAACTGTTAAATTTATTTAGGTATATTATAACATAAATACATACACTTTGAATATTTTAAAGACAAAAGTAAGGGCTAATCATATTTAATACTATCTGCAGACTTTGAAATAATATATGAATGAACTGATTATTGTCACATAATAAAATTTTTGTAAAATATATACATATATATTAAGTATAGCGAAATAAAATATCGTGTATAATACAATATACAATTCTTGATACAAACAATGTAACGAATATCCATATCGGTTTCAGCTTGAGGCTTTTTTATATAAACTACATATTATATGTTTTAACTGTTCTAATCTTCGATGTATAAATAATATTATTGTAAAATCGGTCTTAAAAGAATTAAGGAATCCGTCTTTAGTGCGTTTTTAGCAGTGATGTATACATTTATACGAATCCTAATAACTATAATATGTTGGAACAAGCAGTTATTTTACGAATAAAATACCAATTTACCGAAATTATTTTAATTTTTGTTAATGATAAATATGAAATTAAGAACATTTTTCGTGTCAAAAAATGCAGACAACTAAATATTGGAAAAAGAGGTTTTTTAACAAATTAAAATAAAAATTAATATGGCCTATTGTCTCCCTTTACTTGAACAAGAGACCAAACTCTATTTGGGATTGTATTAACTAGGCATTTAAAAGAATTCAGGGTTGAAACTATCCCATATTTCTTGTAATTTAGCACGCAGTTGTGGCTAAGTACGCTCAGGGTTATTTCTAGGCGTTACTTCATTTTGTGAAAAAGTGTCTCTGTTGGATTAAAATCCAGGATCCTAGAAAAATGTGACAAAACTTTAATGTCATGTTATTCCATCCATTTTTTGGTAGCTTTATCCGTATGACATGATGCTGCGTCCTGCTGAACGATAAAATTTCTATATTGATATAACTTTGGCGCACTTGGTAGAAACAAATATTCAAGGATATCTTGATATTTGGCTGAGTTTACTATGGCCTTAATAAAATGTAAAGTTCCCAAACCTTTGGCCGAGATACAATCCCACACCATGATGCCCTGTGGAAACTTTACAGTTCTTTTGAGAAGATCCTTATGGAAAGTGTCTATTTTTTCCCGAATCACAGGCAATATATAATTCCCACAGATACATCAAATTTGCTTTCGTCGCTATACCTAGATAACTTTGTCCCAGTTATGTTTGATCCACAAAAGTTTTGATTTAGCCCAAATGTATCAACATACCTTATAAAAACTAAGACCGCTTTTGTAGATATATTTGCGACATGATTATCTGGAAACATTTTTCCCAGTTTCTCTATTTCTTGTAGTATTTATTTCTCGTAGTGTATTTCTTCTTCCTGACTTAAACATTCTAATTAAATGCCTTACACTCCTTTAAGAAACAGCTTTTGGACGGTCTGAGCTTTTGCCGCATATATCAATACTGGCAGTTTTATCATATTTCTTAATTATATTAAACACAGTAATTGTTGCTACAGTCATTCACTGGAAATTTCACGCATTGTTTTTCCTTCTTGGTACTGATAAATAATAATTTCTTGAACTTTTGGATCAGTAGGCTTTCCACCTACCAGTCTTATATTTTACTTGTAATAAAACTGACGGTTGTCTTTATTCATACTCAAATTACGAGTGACAATAATTATTTTTGACAACGCGCTA